AGGTATCCGTCTATACACACGATCCATCCATCGTATATACGTTTATATGTAACTTTGTGTCCTGTCGCTGTGGTTAACCATATATGCGCATGACATGTAGCTTTAAATCTTAGACAGAAATGTGACCATAGGGTGACATGCGGGAAGCATCTGAGCAGTTTGCAGAACTGAGTACTTCCTGTTACGTTAGATGAAGTAGTATCAGACTGGCCAAAGAGCACAACTGATCCATTCTGAGCTTTCCATCAGAAGGTAAGACAGATCTTCTGCTACATACCCGATTATAGCTGACAGGACTTGGTTATGTCTTCAAATGTTATTTTTTATAAAATGATAAAACGAAACAAGGTTGTGAAACGGTTTGCCTCCTGGCTGATGCAAGCTTAAGCTGTGTGCTTCAAAAGGAACTGTCTGTATCTGAAAACATTACATAGTGCCGTGTTGGGTTTTTCAAAAAAAAAAAAAAGTGTGAACATTTCCTGTTTTCTTTTATTCTCTTCTTTCTGTCAAGCACCTACAGTCAGTACTGCGAGACTGTCCTCTGGAGTGGCTGAAATGAGTGAACTTTTATCACTTTTCGTCCTCACCCGTGCTCTGTTCCACCTGCAGACAGGTAAGACACATCCACTGCTGTGGTTAACTTTTCTGACTTAAGGATCTACCGTTATCTCGTATGTTTAATGGTGCCAGATAAGTTCTGGCACAGGAGTCCGATTTATCAGATTTTATTTCTCTCTACATATTTTACATTTGGTTGTTTTTTGTTTTTGTTTTTTAAGATTAGAATTATTCTCTGACTGAAAATACAAAATGTGAATCCTCTGTCAGTCTGCTTAAAAGTTTTCACATTTAATATTCAGTGCTATACTTTGAGTTTTGGTGTGAACGTAAAGCAAAGGGTGTGGTGACAGACACATGATTGCCTCATCACACGATTAACTGTACACTTGACACAATGATTTTTCCTCCCATGTATCTTTTTTCCATGTATCTTTTTTTTTTTTTAACTTTAACTTATTCTGCAATTTCAGATTTGGTTTAACGCAGCTATGACACTCCTCGCCATGAAGACATTTCCAGCCTTTTTATGGGGAATATTCATCGTGGCTGCTTCCACCCCAGAAACCAGTGGTTCTACCTACACTGTTGAGCCCAACAAGACAAGCGCCCAGCTGACAACTGCACTTGCGTTTCACAATAAAACAGATTCACACCCTGCAGTGTGGGGAAAACTCACAGACCTGCAGCTACTACGTTTCTGCACGCACAGAGCCAGTGGTAACCACAGTGGAAACTAGCGCGGCAGCTATCAGTAACAAAACTAAAAGCTCCATTGACAGTGTAGTCACTTTGATTCCTACAAGCCCTGCAGCAGCAGTCCCAAGCAGCTCGCTCCGCAGTTACTTCATACCTCCACAGCTTTGATTGAAACTCAACCCACCCACCAAGTGACCATGAAAGAAACAACAACACATGCAGAGGACGGGTCCCATCCACAGTCAACCACAGCGCCAGACACCACTGCTCCTGCAACATTCTCATCAACAGCAGCTGTGTCTTCTCCACAGCCCACATCCATCACTGAGTCTGCAATGACATCAGTGTTATCATCCACTTTCTCTTCTGAGAAATCTACTGCAGCTCCAGGCACTCAGAACCTCAGCAGCCTTTCAGTTTCTACTGCACGCCCATTGACGGCAGAGTCGATCTCAGAGACAACACGTGTGCCACAGGTGTCCACCTCTTTGCCCCCACAACAGCCAAGACACTGAAAACCAGCCCTGAGATTTCATCTGCAACTCAGTCCGTTTCTGCCTCGAGTTCTTCTATCTCCACACAGTCAAATGCTACCTCTACGTCAACTGAATCTCCCAACTCCACCATTGCAATAATCCCGTTCCCCCGTAGGCCCACGGTGTTACCACATCCAATAACTAAGCCAGCCCCAGCTACTAAATCGCCACACGGTGAAATCTCAAAATCAACCCCCAGCACCGAGGTTCAACCCGCTTGACCCAGAACGTGGTGAAGCAGTGCCTCATTGTCATCGCCTGCCTGGCTTTGGTGTGCACAATCTTTATCTTTACTACCATTGTCCTCTGCGCCAAACTGTCATCGAGGAAGCGCAAGCGCAAACCTCAAAAGGAACGGAAATGATGTGCATTTCTGCTCTGCTGCCCGAGAGGAGCTACAACTATACGAGACAGCACAATCCGGTGCCCAATGGTGTCCTGGTGATGCCAAGGGCTGAAGACAGCGATGACGAGGTGGGAGATAATCTGACTCTCAGCAGCTTCCTTCCAGAGAATGATCGCTACGTGTAGATGGATTTTACTATGCTTTCATCTGTTTGCTATCAGTCAGCATGGAAATAGCTGCTTTTTTAATAAACTCCTGCTTCCCTTTGATATTACTGGTTTTGCTTCAGTACCTGCCGTATTTCAGTGGAGGAAGAGGAAACCACAAACAGACAAACATTCACGGTTTCATGTGCAAGTGCCTGTAACTGCATGTGGTATTTGACAAGGTCTGTGCTTTTTGCATGACTTTAGCCTCCACAGGATGAAGAGATCAAAGTTTGTTTTTTGTTTTTTTTCATCCGGAGTTGAGCCCTGCTGGTATTCACTTTACGACAGGGACAGGAAGACTTGCTGTGCAAAGGGATATTATTGCTCTGTTCAGACACTGTTCAGTTTACAAGAACTATCCAGGTGGCTGAACGCTTAAAGGGACAGTTCAGCCTCAAGTCAAATTTACATGTTGTTCTGCTGGCCTGTAGTGCTATTTGTCCACCTGATGTGCCGGTGTTTGCAGATATTTACTGTAGAGTTGCCTTCCTTGTCTTGAATATACCAGAACCAGGTTACAACTGACTTCTGCTACTCATTGCAAATTTCCTTTTTCAAGAAATCATCCTCAAATGGTGTTGTGAGCAGTTTTATGCAGGAACTATGTCTTTTCGACCTAACTGCATCAGCCAGTCAAAAGCTAATATCACACCTCAGCTAAGGGGGGAAACAATCGGTGTTTACAGTGGCACACTTCCTTCTGCAAAGTGATGCAATTGGCTGGTGCACTTTAGAAAAAAGAAAATGTAAACACACAAACTGCTCGTTATGGTGGATTATTTTTCCATAAGTGGTTGTCATGATTGATAAGAGCCAGGGAGGTTTCAAAGACAGTTTTTGAAGCTGTGAGCACCATAATTTTAATATCTAACACCATTATATTAAATAAAAAAAGTGAGATAAGAGAAAAAACAAGAGATGGATGGATGATCACCAATTTTGTGCAATTCACACCAAAAGAACAGATACATAGATGGTTGAACGCTTGATGATGTAATGACCCTCTTCAGTTTGTCTTGGTAGGTCATGTGACCCTGGCATGGAGCTAACATGGCTTAGTTGTAGGGTTTTCATTCATCAGGGGCTGATTGTGGCATATAAGGAGCAGTCCTGGTGACTCTTTGTGTCCTGTCCTCTCCTCTTCTGTATGGACTCCCTGCAAGCCTGTAAGAAAATAGGATCACCCGACTAGGCCACCTTCGGTCCACATGTAACATGACCTATAAAAACAAACCAACATGGGGTCGTCACAATGCACAAAACTAATTTCATGTTGTTTAAGTGTGTGTGAAGAGATCTACTTTCTGATAATTTATTAAATAAATGTCTTTGTTAACTTTAACATTTTAGTAACTCTTCAGGTTAAGAGTCATAATGAAAAAAAGAATAAAACATTTCTGCAAACTTAGAACTGATCACTTCTCAGTGTAGAAGTTAAACATATTCTGTGGTTCTCTCATGACAACAAAAGTTTGAGGAACTTATCTGAAAGATTTCCTCAAAACGATTATGCCTTGCAATCCATATTGTGCTTAGTGTTATGAATATTTTCAACATTAAAAGTAGCCTTTTTAATAAAAAAAAAAACTGTCTGTAAATTTCTAAACAGTCAAAATAGAAATAAACTTTCTGTGATCTCCGTCAGTGCCCTCGTTTATGAAAGCCCTCACAAAAAAAGCTTTTTTCCTGCTCCTGACTGGATCTCAATTTCACTTCCTTTCCTGAGAAAAGAAAACAATTCCCTGAATACATATTAGGGCCATGAGACCACATTTTTCTCTCTCTTTTTAAATTTTCCCCCGACATTTACAGACGTCGGTGACTATCAACAGAGCTGAGGCAAATGTAAACCTGGAGGATGCAGGAACCCATCGCACGCTCCTCATGACCATATAAAGCTACGTTTGTTGAGCGATCAAAAGCAAACAACATGCAAGAAAAATGCAATCACTCAAACAAAGTCACACTCTCTCCCTTAAGTGGTCTCACACACATACATACACACACACGCTTTAATTGCTCGTCTCTGGATAAAATGCTCCACATTGTTTCTAACAGTCTCCAGCGTGTGGCCTTTACCTTCCCCCTTCTCTTTGCTGTCCACACAGGAACCATTAACCTTTTCCTGCATTGGCAGATCACTCATACAAGCTGCTCTCTACCTTTTTTAGCCCCAGAGGTTTGCTGTTATTCATCAGTGTGAGGGACTAAGGGGTAAACGAAGGAAAGGCTGTCAGTCAGAGGCTCTGTTTATTTTTAGAGGGTTTATTATTTGTGATGCTTTTATAGCTCTTAAGAATTAATTTTGTTTTGTGGAATTGGCTTTCCACATCCACTGAGCCAAACATCAGAGTGGAGAAGAGGTCCCTGCCCCCACAGCACATTTAAACTCCCACATAACAAGAACAATCTGTGTGCAGGCCGGAGAGCTCAGACACTCTCGGGGAAACTGGAGGGGAGGAGAACAGTGGATAGGCAGAAGGAGGGATTTCTTCTCATGGTAATTGCTTTTTTTTTTTTTTTAAATACCCAGACAAACCTCCACACTGAAACCTGAAACTCGCGGAGCGGGCGTGCTTCACCGAGCATTCGCCGCTCTTTGCTGTGCTAAGTTCACTTTTTCCAGTCTCATCCTCCTCATTCTGAGGCTTTTCAGCAGACAGCTCTTCTTCTGCAGTGGATGGTGAGTCAAATGTGTCATTTCATAAGGTTTTGTCCTTAAAATTCAATAACAGCATCTTGACACCTTGTTTGACAGCATCATGATAGAAGGATTCAAACTCAGAATTAGGAACATGATAATAAAAAAGTAGAGACAAGGTTCAGATTTAGACATTAAAGTTTCGACATTACGTTTGCAAATAAATAGTCGCACTTGTTAAATCTGCTGAGTGAAGATTTGTGTGTGCTTGTACCTCCTTCTGTGCTGTTACTGTGTCAGGTATATTAGTCCAGGGTGAGCAGGGTGATTGATTTGGGAAAAGAAAAGAAACAACAACATCAGAACCCGTTTCCCAGACTTTCATGTCTCGGCAGCTGCACACAGATGGCGCAGAAAGATTTGGGAGACAGACTGAGCACGTAGCTTAGTGTGATCAAAGTTCTGGTTGAATTCTGGTTGTTCGGTTAAATTAATCAAGTTGCAAACACACATACTATTTATACTTCTTGTTGTAGAAAGCCATGTAAGATACTTTTGGTTATATCTGAGCAGGAAGTTTTCCTGCAAATCAACACCTCTCGGTTAATGATACGCTCAATATAATTTATTCTAATATGTAAAAGGTGTATAAAAATTGTAATTTGTAGAGATTGGTTAATTGCTTGAGATATAATTCTATGGTCACTTCTTTAGATACACATTGCTAGTACTGGGTTGGATGCAACTTCAGGGTTTTCATGCAGAGATTCAAAAAGGTGCTGGGAACATCCTCAGAGATTTAGTCCATATTACCATGACAGCACACAGTTGCTGCAGCTGTGTCTCATCCGTGATGTGAATCTTCCATTCCACCACATCCCATCGAGATCAAGATCTGGTGACTGTGGAGGGTATTTGAGTGCAGGGAACTCAATCTCATGTTTAAGAAACCAATTTGAGATGATCTGAGCTGTGCGTTATCCTCCTGGGAGCATGTGGCATAAAAGGGATGGAGATAATCAGCAACAAAGTCAGGTAGGCTGTTGCATTTAAACGATTCTCAGTTGGAACTATTAGGTCCAATGTGTGCAAGAAGCCGTAGCCTAAGCCATGATGCAGGCAGGATGGATCCATGCTTCATGTAGTTATGCTAAATTCTGACCTTACACCTGGATTCATCAGACTAAACAATGTTTTCCCACGCTTGTCTTCTTGTCTGTGTCGTCCTCTGCTGCCTGTAGTCAGTCCTGCTTCAAGAGAGATGCTCTTTGATACCTCGGTTGTGGTGATTTTAGTTTTTGTTGCCGTCTTATCTGTTTGAAGCAGTCTGGCCATTCTCCTTTGACTTCTGGGATTAACGAGGCATTTTACCCAGAGAACTGCTCACTGGATAGCTTTGCTTTATTGGACCACTCTCTGTAAACCCTAGAGAAGATCAAGACCAGCCTGTCTGACACAACAGCACAAAGTCTCTTAAATCACTTTCTTTTTTATTCTGATGCTCGGTTTGAACTGTAACAGATCAATGCACTAAGTTGCTGCCATGTGACTGATTAGAATTTGCATTGATAAGCAGTTGGAAGTGTAGCCTAATACAGTGGCAATAAGCGTATAAGGCATAAGTATAAGTTACATGTATTTCTTTCAAAGTGCAATTTCAACTAACCCAGAGCTGGGAGCCTTTCTACCTCTAACTTTTACTCATGACATTTAAAACAGTGCAACCAAGTGAACATTAAGATAGACAAATATAACTAATAAAACATGATCTTCTCGTACTTTGTAAACTGTGGAATTTCAGTCATCCATCTTTGTTTTTGTTGTAAAGCAGACTGAATGTCTCAAGAGCAGCACTACTAATTTTACTTTCTGAAAAAAAGATGTTAAGCAAATACACACAAAGCACATATTCTCTTGACGTGTGTCACTGATGTTAAGTGTATTACAGATTCCGAGGGGAAATGCCGCTCCTGATGCCCTTCATCACATTGGTCTGTGCGTGGTGCTTTGCATCAGTAGCAGCCTCTCCACACCTCTGCCTTACTCAGATACTCTGGAGGGAAGCATAGATGAGGAAGACAACAACTACTTCACTTTCTATCTGCCTATTACCAATGTCTCCACAGAGTACCAGACCGCACCTGCCAACACAGCCCAGGAGGAAACTGACTTTCTGAATCAGCTTGTGAACTTTCTTAATGAGAACATGCTCCTCATCCTCGTTGCAGCCAGTCTCATCCTTCTCGTCTTCCTTATCATCTGCGGGGCAGTTTTCATGAGCCACAGACGCAAAGTCAACACTTACTATCCTTCCTCCTTCCCCTCAAAGATGTATGTGGATGACAGGGACAAAAGTGGAGGTGCTAAACCCTTTAACGAAGTTCAAGAAAAAGCTTCCCCGGGGCAGGAAAGCGAGCCAGTGGACTCTCACAAGCAGCTCCAGGCTGACATTATGAGGGCTGCCAAGAGCCTGCGCGCTCCAAATAAATCTGTTGATGCTGCAGAGAGAAGCGATCCCAGTCAGAAAGTAGCAGACCACAGTCCCGAGGACAGCTCAAAAGCAGATGACAGCATCCTAGACCATCAGCTCCCAAGTCTCCCAGAGGAAAATGAGCCGAGCGAGCTTCCGACAGTGAGGCCACCACCACAGAGGGCAGCTCAGAGCCGAATCCTCCTGAGCTGCCTCGGTCAGAGGAAGTTGATTCACAAGAGCCTTTGACGGGCAGGAGTCCGCGGCCCTCCTCTCTGCACATTCACAATGACTCTGCTACACTTCAGCTCATCGCAGGAGAGAAAACTGCCTTCTAAGAAATCACATTTTTGCAGAAAACCAAAGATTTCTGCAGGATTTTATTTGAGGAAATGCAGAGAAGTTACTAAAGATACAGCAGGCAGAGTTGAAGATGATACATGATACTCTCTTTATGCACCTTTGTACAAGTTTCACAGTACACAAATAGTGTTAGTATTTTTTGTGTTCCTGTGTTTGAATTTAAACATCTCTGCTGGTAACAGTAGGTGGTGTGGTCCCAATTACTCTGCGCTTCTATGCAAAAAAAACAAAAACAAAATTGAACAACTAGGACTCAGTTCAGTTTTGAATTTTTAATATGAACCTGTTATGCTTTTCCCCATTTTCTGTCATATATACACTGCTACAGTAGGGTGGACTTTTATATTAACATGTCCGGAGTTTCAAATAAAAAGTTCTCTGTGACATCACCAGGGTACACATTCCTGATAATGGCTTGTTTCAGGAAGTAGATGCATTGAGGTAATGCTCTTTAAAAAAAAAACAAAAAAAAAAAAAACAGCATGATGATTTTGACCTGCGAGACATGTAAAGCTACTCCAGCAGACTCCAAGAGTAAAACTGTGGAGTTTTAAATTTTTCTCTTTTTAGGGTGCACGCTTAGGATTCCATACTTTTACGGAGCCCGTCTGACTGGTTTTATCACTGCACATCACACGCTGGACCGCTTAAACATGTGGGCTCGTACACATCTCAGTGGGACTCCAACGCAGCCGCCTCTGTGAAAAGCCTCCAAATTAATCAAAACGGCAATCGGACGGCATGTCGGGTCTTAACAGCCCAATAAAGCTAGTGAGTGCAGATGATGTTGAACGTCGCTGTGTTCTGCAAAGGCGCTTTTCAAAATTGTGTGCACGTAAGTCAGAGAAATAGAAAGCGGTGTGAGGGAGAGAGAAGCTGAGACACTGAGATAAAGCGAAGCAGTCAGGATTTGTCAAGTGTATAAAACCACAATCTGGTGTGTTTTGGCTGCAGCGGATCTCAGCTGCAGAGCTTTTTTAGGTGCGTTATTGTAGCAGGAAGTGCATGGGCGTATTTGCAGGCTCTGTGTCTATGTGCAGCTTACTCAAATGGATCACAAGGATGACTTATTTAAAGAGAATTAAGAATAACCTCATTAGTTATGCCTGTATTTTTCTGTAGCTGGAGGGTCAAATGTTTAAATAATAAACAGGATTCAAAAAGTACAATTAGGGATAATTTATTACAGACTTTTAAAGAAGCATTTGTAAATATAAGTTGCATTTGAAACTACTGGACCCCCTTTCTTTGGTTCAAGCCACTTTGCTTAATCAACAGGTCAGTGCGTTTAGAGTGCAGAGGGTATAAACAGCTTTTAGCTTTCATCCATACCTCCATCACACCTTTCAAAATAAAAAACACTCCACCTGTACAAAGCAATTTCCAAAATAAGGCTCATCTCTGTACCAACAACCCAAAACAGTGCTTATATTGTGCGTTTACGTGACAGGCTAAAAGATACAGTATACACGGTTAGAGGATCGCAGACTAATAAAAACAGCCTGGTGTAACACTGCTACAGAGGGTTGAAAGGTGGTGGGCTCGTCATCATTGCCGCAGGAAAGTGAGGTGTTGACGCTGGACTATTTCTCTTCTTGGCAGCAGGGAGCCAAACCGGGCCCAGCACAAAGCGTGAGCACTCCATTTAATTGCTGGCTCCGACTGCCTCCTGCTGGTCATCTTGTTGCTTGAGACGATAGTCAGCAAGGGCTGCCTTGATGGCATCTTCGGCAAGCACTGAACAGGAAATAATTGGAGGTTAAATGTGCACATGTGCAGAGAAGTTTGGAAAAAAGAAAAAGAAGAGCCTTGGCGTATTAAAAGAAAACTTACTGGAGCAGTGAAGCTTAACAGGAGGAAGACTGAGCTCCTTGGCGATGTCTGTGTTCTTTATCTTCAAAGCTTCGTCCACCTGAAAATAAAAGCCCACACACAGCCATGAGCGGAGAAGAACACGCTAAATATTTAATAGATTAAACATTCAAAGGAGCTGAGATGCAGGTCTGTAATGTGTTCACTCACAGATTTGCCTTTCACCCACTCGGTGGCCAGAGAGCTTGAGGCGATGGCAGAACCACAGCCAAAAGTTTTGAACCTGGCATTCACAATCTTCCCCAGGTCATCCACCTCAATCTGAGAAAAGTTTTGACTGTTACTCATGTGACCAAAAAAAATGAGCAAAAAAAAAAAAACCAAACAAAAAAAAAACCCCAAACAATCCTAATCTCTCCCATTCTTTAAAATGTATCCCTACTAAACTAACAAAAATAAACGCCTTTAAGTCACACACACTTCGTAACAAACATACCTGAAGCTTCATTACATCCCCACAGGCCGGGGCACCCACCAAACCAGTTCCAACATTCTTGGAGTTTTTGTCCAGCGAGCCCACATTTCTGGGGTTCTCATAATGATCCACCACCTTCAGACAACAGAGAGGGGAAAAGGAGCATCAGGCCAAATGCACTCTTCCTGTTGCTGTCAGAATTCAACAATCACATATTTGCAGGAAGGAAATGCCATCTATATTCAGATACAATGGTAAAAAGAATGTGTACAAGTCTTGGCATCCTTGTTACACAACTACAACTTGACTCACTTGCATAACTGACACTGGCATGAGCAGATTAGGACTGGATTTCATGGTCTACACAGTGCAAACTCTGTCCTTCAGCCCTCCTACTCTATTTCTTGCTGAGTCACTCTGACCAAGACAGTGTGAAGTGGCCGAGCATCGCAAAACCTTTTGCATTTTTCATCAGAAATTAAAGGTTTAAAGCCAGATTCCTCAGCTGATGGCTAAAACATGACCTCTTATCCAAGAAATAATTTTAATAAAAGGCATATAATGTCTAAACCTCCACAATCACCCAAAAACATCCAGCTAAACATAAATACATCACAGTTATGGCTGCCATGACCCGGTTAACCTGCTGTTGCATCAGTACACCTTCACAGGTATCACATAACATTTACCTGACTCTAGCACAACATACTGCCACCCTTTAAAGCGCATCAATCGGATATGGTTAAAACTGTGGCAGTGGACAGCTGGTTGCAGATTAGTGACGTTATTCCAGCCTTCAGTAAGCTAAATAGCTACAATGAAACAATACATTTGTTCATTTTAACGGGCTAGCATCATGGAGGTGAAGGGTTTGAGATAACCAGCGTAAAGGCAGTCTGATGTAACTTGAAACATTTGTGCAGCCAGCTAAATATAAGCCACCGTCCTATGGTTGTCAACAAAATGCCCGAGCAGAAAGATCTTACAGAGTCGTGGTTGCCCGTGTTTAGTAGATCAGTTAGCTGATATACTCCAGGATGCTTTCAGTAGGAGTAAACATGAACCAACAAGCAGCTGCGACGCTGTAAGCCGAGCTCCCCGTTAAAGAGAAGCTACAGACTGGACCACTTACCTTCTTGTGATAGCAACACTGAGTGATGAACTCGGGAGCGGAGAGCCTCCTAGTGAGGAAAGCCAGAGGACTGAGACACTTGTTCGCCACGGTGCTCGCCATGTTGATCCAATGTCGCAGTTAAGAAAGCTCGCAGCTCAAGAGACTGGAACTACACGTCACTGACAGGAGGAGGAGCTACAATAATCACATCTGCGCATGTCTGGTTTATGCAATTTACAAAAAACGCTCTTTTGATAATACAATACAATTAGACTTTCATTTGTTTATTTTTTTTTCTCTTTGTATTTTAATTGATCAAATTATCTCTCTTTACGAGTCTTTATCAAGCATTTAGTAGAGGTGGGTAGATTAAGCCAAATATGGAGTGCCACAGGATTCATACTTTAGTTTATTTCTGTCCTCTAAGGTTCATCAAAAAAGAAACATGCCTGTGCAATCGCTGCTCCACTCATGCAGTCACTTTGACATTAACTAATTATAAAAATAAAGTGTTATTGGTCGTCTTGGCTGTTAGGTTTGCTAACTGATTAACAATAGACTATATTCAGACATTCAAATAATATATTCAGCCCACTGAATTGTGTTAAATACTTTATTTTATTGGAAATGAAAAACTACACCTCAGACATGAATTCTGAAAAATTCCTGAGCCCTTTTGTGTTGACTGTTAGGTCCATTTTATTTATAGCCTAAGAAGCATTTAAATGGCAGGCGTTGACCCAAAATAGGAGACAGTCACGTTAAAAAACAAAAAACAAGTTTCAAAATACACGAAAAAGCTGAAAGGTGGGTTTTGTTCTGTTAACTAATTATCTGTGAAGTTGAAAGAAAATGACAATGATTTAGTAGGGAGTAAAATGTGTTCAGAATTTGCTAATTGATGATGATTCATGTCATAAATCAAGACACACTGCTCTCCACTACATAAGCTGCATCAGCAATACTGGCCCTGTATTTACTTGGTATCAGATCGATACTGATATTTGCATCGCACTAGTATTTAAAGAAAACCTTTATGTTCTCCAGAGTCAAAAGATTACATTCAACTTATATGTGGGTTTTTCTTCTTGCTGCTGTTCCCTTGAGGGGTTGGCGCAACAGATCTTCCTGCATTTCACCCTATCTCTAGCATCCACCTCTGTCGTACAGCCCTCTGCATGTCTTCCTTCACTACAGCCCTGAATTTCCTCTGTGGTCTTCCTCTTTTGCTCCTGCCTGGCAGCTCCATATTCATAGAGTCCCGATCAAAAATTTAAGTCCACTTGAAAAATGGCAAAAAAAATCATATTGTGCATGGTTGGACCTTAACAAGGTTCCAAGTCAAGCTTCAACGTGCAACAAGAAGAAATGGGAGTGAGACGAAACTTTTTTATTTATTTTTTTTTAGATATTCAGAGCTCTTCTTTGGATGTTTGCTGCCTTTTCTTCTGTTCTCTGTCAGATAGATCTCACACTGCTTCAGTG